ACAGGGGAGGAGGAGGGGCTGCCACAGGCAAACTGCAAAGTCTCCACCGTAGGAAAGTCTGCAGGGTAATGAGCAGTGGGTTAATGGAGTGAAAGGGCTGCAGCAGGAGTGTCTGACAGCCTCTGTCTCTCAACCAGGGGAGCAGAGATCGAAGGAGCTGCGGCAGGAGGGAGCAGATGTCCCGCCTGGCACCATTGAGGACTGGCTGGAGAAGAGAGCGAAGAGACTGACCGCGGCTCAGAGCAACAGGTACGGACTGGCTGCTGCTTCTGGCCCCACAGGGCACAGGGGGACAGGAGAAGGTGCAGGTGGTCAGAGGTCCCAGCTCAGTGGGACCCCCTGAGCTCTCATTCCACACTCGCCCTGCCAGCGCTGTGTGCCCACTCTCAGGACATGCTACAAACACAAACATGGCTCCAGCCTTGTGGGCCCACAGCAGAGATGTGGCTCCCCATGCACCGAGGGCACAAGCCAGGCCTGGCTGCCTGTGGCTGCTGCCCTCGGAAGCAGAGCACGTAGCAGTGCCTGGCAGGACAGTGCCACCGTGGTGCTGAATTATTAACGCACCGAGTTCAGTGGCGGGAGCCCGTCTCATCTGTTGACAGCTTCTACATCTTCCCCTGCCCTGTCTGCACATCCCTGCCAGGGAGAGGCTGGAATTAGCTCCTCCTCGCGGCATTCGCTGGGATTCGGGTCCTGCTGTTCCCTCGCTCACCTGACTGTGCCGCAGGCTGAATTGGATGACATTTGGGCAGGTGCCAAATCTCTCTTCTGTTCTTTATCTGTTTGCTCCTGTCCTCTCCTCTGTTCGGTCTGGGCAGGAGCTTCCTTCTGGTGCCTGTCTGGGCTTGTTGCTTTCTGTTCTCTCCATCAGCTTGGCTGCCCTTAGCCTTGCCTGGTGCTCGCTGAGAGCCAGAACCTTCCAACCCCCTACACTTCACTTGCTGTATTTTGCTTGTCCTGCCCAGGAATCCCTTGATCTCGGGGTAGATCTCCTCTTACAAAAGATGGCCATTCCCAGAGGAATTTCCAGACGTTCATAACTACTTGGTCCCTGCTGCCTCCAAAGCTGCACAAGACCTGAGTTTCTAAGGTTGTTGCTTTCAATAACAACCTACTACTACAGGAGCTGAACACCAGCTACTCAAAGCTTCTCCTCTTCTATCCAGCTTTGCCAACACCTCCCCCTTTCATTCCTCTTCTCCCCGGTGCTCTCCAGCCCCAGCATTGCCTTTCCAGGCAACTCTTGTGTTTTGCCTTGCCTGCCAGAGAAGTCATGCTGCACTGCCAGGGAAGAGGGCCTGTTCTAGGCAATCCCTGTGCTCCTGGTGCCTGGGGAGCCCGTGTTCCACAGCTGCTGCTGTGTTACGCCTCAGCCTGTGACTGTAGCTGAGTTTCTGTCTCTGCCTTGCCAGGGGCTTCCTAGCAGGATAGCTGGCAGGGAGTCATGGATGGAGCTACTGCCAGCTTAACACAGCACCAAGGAAACGCTGTGCTGGAGTAGATGTGGCCGTGTGGCCAGGCACAGCCTTGGCTGAAGGATAGTACTTCCTTAAAGACAGTGATCTGGGGCCCTGAAGCTGCTGCGAGGGCTGGAGCAGCTCTGCTCTGGAGCCAGGCTGAGAGAGCTGGGCTGGGTCAGCTGGAGAAGAGAAGGCTCCTGAAGGGGACACCTAAGAGCAGCTCCAGTGCCTAAAGGGGCTCCAGGAAACCTGGAGAGGGGCTTTGGACAAGGGCCTGGAGGGACAGGCCAAGGACAATGGCTTGAACCTGCCAGAGGGGAGATTGAGATGAGCTTTGAGGCAGAAGCTCTTCCCTGTGAGGGTGCTGAGGCGCTGGCACAGGGTGCCTTCCACCCATCATTCCTGCAGCCTGGGTGGCCTCAAGAGGCCAATCTTCACTTGGAAGCCTCCACTTGAGGTGTATTTTCAGTCACACTCTGCTGTTTCTGTCTGCAGAGCTGGGGTATTGCTGAGTGGAGTCTGTGGGGTTCCCTCAGGGCTGGAGCTCTGCCGGGGGGTGATTGTTTTTACCACGATTCCTGAAGGAAACGGAGCCTGTCAGTGCACTGAGGGTGGCTTCTGCCACAGCTGCCACGGGGCACACTTGCAGAGTTCCATCAGAAAGGGGTCTGAGGGCTCAAAGATGCTGCGATACTGCAGGTTACATGAACATGGAAGTGGGTAGGGGAGAGGATCCCATTAATGCCTTCGGAAAGGAAATATTCTTGACCCTTGCTGGGCACCACAGAATCTGCATGGGACAGCCATTCCAAATGCTCCAGCTGTAGGCAAACCTTTGGCAGCACTTGAATCTTATGACACCCCAGGGAATTGAGTACCCAGACAGCATCCTCCCTATTGATCAGTCCTGCTGCTCACACAACAGCTCATTACTTGATAACTCTGCTGTTCCCCTTGCAGTGTGCCTCATCCTGCTCCCCACCACACTGCTGCTGCAGGGCTCCTCCTGCCCGAGAGGGGTTGGCATGTGTCCTGGCACTCCTGTCTCCTCCTCAGCCCGGAAAACTCCCCATCAGGGGGATAAGGATTACAACAAAGAGCTTGGCTCTGTGTTAGCTGCCTAGAAAACGCTGCACTCAACTTGTGTAGCTGGCTCCTGGCCACATCACCAGCTCTGCAGGGAGAGGAGGGTGCTGCTGCTCCAGAGCATTATGTAAAGGAGATTCAAGAGGTTTCTCCTGGCATAACAATTAAAAAGATCCATCAGGATCAGAGGTAGAGGCCTGAGGAGTTGGAAGGCCGCTGTCAGGGCTTGTCCTAAGGAACAAATGAGTTTCCTGCACCCAGGAATGAATGGGAAAGGTTCATTCCCCATGAATTTAAACCTGCCCCAGCCAAGCACTTTCCTCAGCTGGAGACAAGGAAGTGATGCTTCTTCCTTTGCAATTCCTCAGTCAGGTGTGGTGTTTGCAGTGGCCTCAACTAGTAAACTTGAGGGAAGGACACGAAGTGTTTCCCAGGCTGTGAGCTGGAGGAGGAAGCCCATTCCCTCTGCTGAAGGGTGCTTCTGTGCAAACACCCATCGCTTTGGCAGCTTCTCCGCTTCCGAGGGGTCCTTGTCCTTTGGGAAGTGCACGGCTGGCTTTGGGATTCAGCCTGCTCGGAAAGGAACATCTGGTGCTGTTTGTTCTCCTCAAACCCAGCTGTGTGAGGAGTGGAGAGCTGGGGGCAGGAGGGGACAGGGAGCCTGAGGGCTGGGGCTGGCGGAGGGGCACAGGGAAGCTCAGCCCCAGAGCAGGGCCCTGCTGACCACTGAGCCCCTCTCACCTCTGCCCCTTGCACCCCCCAGTGCTCTGCCTGAGAAACCAGCTCCCTTCCAGTACCCGCCGGGCTGGCCTCCAGTGCAGGAGCTGCCGCCCTCCCTGCAGCCCCC